TATATACATATAACATATATATATTGCGTGGTATATATATGGTAGAAAGCTAACATTGTTTGAGATATAAATGTGTAATTTATGTCAGTGCTAAATGTGTTAAGCTCATGTGAACCACAGACATTACTGTAATGGTAAATTGAAAACTGTGAAGGGGAAATAATTGGAAATCTTGCAAAAGAACATGACTCAAATACTTGAGGTTTCAGGATTATTATTGTAACTGCAACTCTCGACATGTTGAGATACTTCCTCTTTGCAGCATTAACAGAAATGTGACACAGCTAATGCAATTCAGCTTTATCTGACCTGGTGAAATAGAGCTTACCGGTCTCTAAGAATGGTCCACAGCTCTCCACCTAAACAAGCTTCCATCAGCATGTAGAGGTACTTGCTGTCCTTGAATGTTCTGTAGAGTCTGAAAACAGAAAAGTGGATGTTATCTCAAACTAAATATTTGATGAATGCCTGGTTGGAGAAGTATAATTAATCAAAATTTTGAAACATACAATTATAAATAATATCTTTATGCCTGCTGTGGGATGTAATTATTTCATTAACACAAATAAAAACCCCAGCTGTGTAGGAAGCAATTTTAGTTAATTCTTTTTTAAACACTGGTCGGAAATAAAGCAATTGTTTTGTTTAGATTTTTGCTGATACTACTTACAATATCCAAATGATTGAGAAAAAAGTTTAATTGCGGCTTAAGGCAACAACAACTGCAACCTTTGAGAGGGCGTGTAGACCTTTATATAGACATTGTATATACTGTATAGTGTAAAATAAACATAAAAACTTGATTAAAAAATTATAAATTATCTTTCAGGGTCCAGAGAAGTTGGAACATTTCCCAGCATACACAGAGAAGAAAGGAGAAAAAACACCATGCATAGTTCACCAGGGTATCTCAGGAACATCACAGGTAGACACACATTCATTCACTCACTGTTTACAATACACTTGACTTGCATGTGAGAGGAAACCTTTATCGACATGACAAAGAACTTGCGTGCTCTGTGAAGAAAACCGTGGTAATCATGACCCTCTGGCTCCAAGGTAATAAAGTACGGATCCTTGTAATATGTGTGGCATATGCAGTAGATTTATATTGTGTTTCAGTGAAGCTGTTCAGGAGGTATACCTAACAATGAAGTCAGAGTGGGCCTCCTGCATGATGAGTTTCTCTGAGCGAATGTGCTCCTGCTGTCTTGTGTCGACAATGTGCCGCTTCTTCAGGATCTTCATGGCAAAGGTTTTGTTCTCGTCACTCTTGAGCTGAACCTGCAGTGGGAAGGGAATAAAGAAATTCAGACACGAGGTCAGCCTGCACATTAACCCGCACAGCCTGTTAGACAATTGCAAAGATGTAAAAACAGATCATTCATGTTTCTGTCACAGCGCAATGCCCCCTACCAGCTCGACGCGACCAAAGCCACCAACCCCCAGCGTGTCAATGATGTTGAAGTCAGCCAGGTTGAGATTGAAGAAGAACGCATTCTCTGCTTCATACCTGTGGTGCCGGAAAAAGGGGGGAAAAAGACAGAATGGGAACAGGATTAGAGACGAGATGAAGAATGAAAGAGATAATCCACTTTTAACAACCTGAGACAAAATATCCGTCTCTCTTTCAGCTCATTTGTTTGCAAATCTTAGAGGATTTAACTCCTAGTAATCTATGAAGGATGTTATTGAGGATGTGGAGTATATAAATATGAACTTGAACATGAACAAGGTGTGTTTGAGTTTAGTCCTCTGGTAAAGCACTCTGACTTTTCTTTGAACACAAACTATTTATTCCCAGCTTGTCCCCATTCTTAATAGGAAAGAACAAAGACGGGACGTCCGTCACACGAGCCACTCACTACTTAGCTGGCTCTGAAGACATGCCTTGGCTCTGCCATCAAACACCCCAACATGCCATTGCAGACCTGCACATGCTGGTGGCGGAGATTGTTTCCACGTGTCCACCCCTTATCCCCAGATGCCTCGTGTCTTCTTTGGTTATTGTTTGATCCAGACAGAGTTTCATCAGCTCAGTCTCTGGATCAGTGGGCTTAGGACAGATCTGAGCCTGGGCAGCCCTATCTGGGTCACTCAGAACAGACTATCGCCTCCACGTCAAGCCTTTTCTTGCACAAAAACAGTACAGCTGGATGCCAAAAATAGCATTTTGTAGACATGTATCAAAAAATACTCCTACGAAGAAGACATGTTTAGATAAATCAGCAGTCTTCCTTCGTGAAGCAGCAGGGATTAAGTTTATTTACCTAAACTGTGACTCATTTTATACTGTTCTGGGTGTGAATTTGATAAATAAAATGGTAAATGAGACTCTTACTTTTGCCAATTAGGCTTATGTGGCCATTTGAGACGTGGAAAGATAATGTTGCTCCATCAGATCCACCAGACACACTTCAGTTATACTGCAAGCTGGAACAGTAAAACCTTTTCCCTAAGCTGCATACCAGTGGACACAGTAGGCACGTGTTGGCACGTTATTGAGCATGGTGTTTCTCAGAAACACATCAGGTTACCAGGACAGTCACTGTTTATTTGTGTGTGTATATAGGCACAACTACTAGCGTGGAAGATTCACGGGTGATCCTTTCATCTTTTTCTCCCCTCCCATCATCTGGAAGCTGGCCCAGAAAACACTTCAAATCCCAAAATGCTCTCTGCTTAACAAGAGGTCAGAGACTAGTAACCGAGAGTACATGAATTACTGTGTTTGGGACAGGGTTATTTATGGTAGTGACTGACATGTGGACAAACAGAGAAAACAGCACACAAAGTCTATGAGATGTTGACATGACGTGTACGGGTCCTGTTAATGAAGGAGGTCTCGTAAATTCTTCCATGGAAAGAGGGGGTCATTTTAAATTATGCAGGTCTTTAAAAAGGTTTAAAAGTAATAGTATCATTTGGCCAGCAGATGGCAGCGCTGCTCCATTAGAAGTATTAAGGAAGGGAGCGGAATACTTAGGGCCAATGAACAAGCTTCGCCTTTCAAGGCTGAAGCACAAAATGAAGCTATTGTATGAAGCAGGCAACGTAAGAATCAACCCTTTTATTCTATTCTGTGAAAAAGATCAAATCCTCTTCAAGTGAGTAGAATAAGACAACCATGGAACCAGCTGGTGAAGTTCACTGCAATGAATGGTAATCAATAGTTTCATTTTAGGAAAACTACTTCCTGTCGCTCTATGTGTCAACCAAGGACACAGACTTTCTGGGAATTGATGAACACTGGATATATTTACTAAAGCAGAAAGACAAATACTCATACAGATTCATTTTCTTCAGATAGGCAGAACAGCACACTTCATGGCTAAAGCACTAGATGGAATATGATACTGGCAAGCAGACCCAGTGGGACTGAAACCATACATCCACCTTAAATAGATGTCTCTAAACCATGACCTTGAATAAAAACTAACACAGAGCTCAGCTGGATCCAACACTGTAATGTAACCCTGGTTAGTTACGCAGCACATGTATTTGAGGCCCCTTATATGAGGTTGAAATGACATGTTACTTATTACTGCCCAATCCATTACTAGCACTGCAATACAAAGTGTTCCTGTGCGGGTCAAGTAGCACCCCAGTGGGTGATAATCTGTATCAGTGAACGGATGAGATCATAAAAAATGATGCAATCCCCATGTGTCTAAGTGTGTGTGAGTGTAAATGTGAGAGTGTGTGTGTGCTATTATCCTTATTTCCTTTTCTCCGGTTCATCTTGGTCTAGCCTGACTCAAGGGAGAGGAGAGAGGACAACATCTCTGACCTTAGAACTGACTCTCATTAAATGCCACTTTTATTTACCAGTAATTCCTGCTTATTGAACTCCTACACCTGCTCAACGGACATGCGACACGCTGGGTTATACTGGGTCATATTTTCTCATCAATCTTCACTCATAAAGAGTTATCTCGCAGGATGGGCTGTGTTTAGCAGTAAGTGGAAAGATTTGATTCAAGTTTAATTTTGATTTAAATTAGATTTTAATGAGAATTTGAATGAAAAAGTTATTTTTTAGGACATTGTATGCCTTTATCAACAGTACAGATGACAGAGAATGAGGGGAGAGAGAGTTAAGGAATTAGGTCCTCCACCAGGGACACCAGTAACTTATAAGCCACCAGGACACACCAAAAAACATATGTTTTTAAGACTTCTGCAACTGTATGGTATTTAAGTACATATTAGGGAATTTAGATGGTAACAGATTCTTACCTCACCTTTATGCATGCAAAAAAGATACAAATGTATTCGCTTTACTTTGTGTAGCATGAAGCCCCTCCCGCAGGGAGAAGCAACAGCTTGATCAAAAACAATGTGCACATATAGCACATAGCAGGGAGCTAGCTCGTCTTTGAAGAAAAGACCTGTCAGCCTCACAGAGAGCAGCTGTAGTTTGCTGTATAGTTACAGTACTGCTGCACGGTGCTTATCCACTGTGACCAATTAGAGATAGTTTCCATCACCGTGGGATCCTGACTCAGGCTTTCCTCACCAAGAAACAAATGTGCTCTGCTGAGCGGGGAGTGCCAGTGAGAGACGACACACACGCAGCAGGGAAAGCTACCATAATCAGGGTGAAAACGGCTTTGATGTGACAGATTTCAGGCAGCAGAAGGCGAGAGTGGCTTTATTTTAAGGTTACGTTCTGTAGAGAATAGGGTTGATAATAAGGTTACAAATGATGGCCATCGAAAAGTAGGATTTCTTACTCATTTGCATGAAACTAATCTTAAACTGGCTTCCCTGAAGACCTAGGGAGGGGAATAATGGGGCACAGAAGGCACACTGCAGGTCTCGTTCTATCACACACATCTGCTGGCAGAGCAATCACCAGTGTTAGTCAGCCATAAGGGGCAACTAGCCAGGGCTGAAGGCCAGGCAAGCCACTGCGCCCCCTGATTATACCCGTCTTCTCTCTTTCCTCAGTGCCTCTGTCCAACCCACTAACTGGTGTTATGTTCTGCTCTTTGCTGACTAAATTCCACTGGCTTGCCAAAGATGACTGACACTCAGCTCGAAATCCAAAGCATCGGACAGAAGTCTAGTCCGCTGTGTCACCCGTCTTGTTCTCTCCATGTCTCTCCTCACTCTGTTCATCTATGTAAATCTCTCTTTCCCTTTCACTGGTGATAAGCTGTCCCTGCTCCCTCGCTCTGTGTAATCTGTCATTACCGGGTTCTTGTTTCTCCTCACCTTGACTCACAACATAGCACCGAGCGAGCCAGGTATCAGATTATGCCAATACGTAGCTGCCTGAACCCCAAGATGCCCACCTCATTGCCAAGGTGCCCTGTGCCTTCTATTGTGCTATTCTCTTGTTTCCATAGCGACGATAAATAGAGTACATATTAATTCCTCCAGAAATAGAGGCGGAGGTCATAACCTATGCTTTCTGGCCTGCCACATGGGTATTGTCTTGTTATGTAACAGACTTAAAGGCACAATGTATTAACAGCTGGCCGAGAGCATGTTTCTTTAAAAAATGTTGCAGCCGATGAGCAGTCACGATATGGTACAACATTTTAAAAGGTTATTGTGACTGAAAAATTAATTTGCAAAAACGAATTGATTAAAACAAAAGATGAGCAAAACAAAAATCAATTAAGCCCAAAGCAATAAAATGTATTCGCATTTTAATTATTCATGCATATTAATACATTCTAATTGTCTTACTTGGCTTTGGCATCTGCATCCTCATGGCCTTTACTGGACACATCCTCCAAACCTCCAATCAGATGCTTGAATGAACTGAAACACAGACAGTGAATTAGTTAAAACAGCACATGATCAAACTTTTCTACATGATTTTGTTCAAGAATCTACAGTCTAGCCCAAAATAATATTCTCCACTTACTGAATGTAATGAAAGAATAGTTCATGGTTAGAGGAAATAAAGTGGTTTGTTCTGTACACTGGAGGCGATCCGTATAAGAAGCCTGTACAATATATGGACAGACAGCGATAAAAAACACTGCCAGTTACTATTAAATATTCATCAGTCTGCTTTTAGAGACAAGCCTCTAAAAAATCACTGAGAACAGACGAGAAGACAGAGCTACCCCAAAGAGGTGTAAAACAGTGTGATAGCAGACGGGGGGGCTGAGTGGGAATTTTCGAGACAAAAGTAGTGGCTGTGCATAAATGTTTTAATGAATGAATAATAAATTAGAAAACATACTGTGCTGAGTAAAAAAAGTTATCATTAGACATAAAATCCACACACAATATTTTCTGTTCTTTTAGTACTTTGTACTAAGTGAGTTAAGTTATTCAACTAAAAGAAATCATGCAACAATGTTCTTTTCAGGCCTTAATAATAAAAAAACACAATAATATTTACCGGTACAATAATACTTTTCTTAATAGATATACCAGAACTTAATTAAAGGACCAGGGTGTAGTAGGATTTAAAGGCATCTAGCAGTGAAGTTGCAGCTCGCCTTCCAAGCGTGTCAGAGAAAATATGGTGGCCAGGAAATTTGTGAAAAACCCTAAAGGCCCTAGGCTACTGTGGAAACATGGCAGTTCAATATGGCCGACTCCCTAGAAGGGGACCTGATGGTAACAAAAACACAAGCTGATAATACACTAATGAACTTATGAATATTTTATTTCATTGCCAATAGATCCCCCAAAATGTTACACACTGGGCCTTTAATTGTCATTACTAAATAGGATAGAAAGTTAGAGAAAGATTACAATGAGATGTTAACTGGAGAATAATAAGCTACACAATATATAAAATCCTCCAAAGTTGCACTCACGGGAGATCTGGCACATGAAAAATAATAACTGCACTTTGGCTCATTTCTCTCTGAAGTTTGGCTGCATTATGCTAAAATACATCCTGGAAGAACAACCAACTGAGACAGTTTTCATACAAAGCTCATCAAGCTGTCAGCCAGACGATGTAATACATCTGGTGTTCTCTCCTGTTGAGACCATAATGCCTGTGAGCTGGCACTGTTTTCGAGCTGAGCTTTTCTTTAAATGTTTTGCTGCTTACAGTGTCTGCAGTGAATCGGTGACTCCCTGCCGCTTGTTTTTATGCCCTGTCTCTTTCCCACTGTCTCTATCTCCTCCCTTTTCATCCAACACAGCTCCTGCAGTTATCCTTATCTTACCTCTTAAGCTTTACCGTTTTGTTTTAATGCATCACACATGTGCGGACATACAGGAAATGAATAAACACACAGAGAATAACATTTTTGTTTAAATACTAACAACCTGGCATCTGCACTAAAACTGTTCTGGTTGGGTTCTGTGGGTTCTAGTTCTGTGGGCTGGGACAGCATTAGCTACTTGTATGACAGGCGGTGGTAATCACCTGTGCTGGATGACTCACTCACTATCCCCTCTGCTAGCTGTGAGGATGGCCCATTTGTGCCTGCCGTGTTCCCTGAGGCCAGAGGGAGGCCCTGGGTAAGCTGATACTGTCTACCATCCTCCCCACGCCCCATATCCATCTGTCTCTATTCTCACCACATGACTTAATGCTAAAGATGGAGATGGAATGAGTTTTTTTTTTTTTTAAGTTTGATCTTACCGTAAATACATGATAAACATTGTAGTGAAATGTCAAACCGTGTTACTGCAATAAAAGGACCACAGCAAATATTTGAGCTGAGATTAGTATTAAAGGGCAATGTGGATTTTCTCTTTGATCTTCTAGCAAACATCAGTGAAAAAATTGTATTCATTACTCATTATTGCACAAATGGAGCCTAAAACTAAAGTGTTTACTGGAATTAATTTAGGATTAAAGATTTATTTATGCCTATCCTCTCTTGACGTCACTTAACTTTCCAAATCTTTCATTCATTCAGTGGTTTGCGTCTGGAAAAGATTTACACAAGAGTTAGGTGAGTCCTGAAGATGGAAGCTCGATCAATCGGCGGAGTCAAACTTTAGGTGATGACGTTAATGCCTTTTATGACTCCAAACGTGTGAAGTGAAGTGAAGCATGATCCCGCAAATCTATTTCGCACCTCGCATTGACTGAATTCATCAAAAATAATCTTATTGTATACTTTAGGACCATTATAATTTACACGAGAGCCTTGATGTTTTTTATATTGAAAAGCAATGACCCTTAAATGTGTGCTATATTTATCTACTATGGTGTAGCAGTCGGTTCATGTTGACGCCTCAGTAAAGGTAGCACTTCTGTAGCCTCTGATTGCTTGAACATAATGAGCAAAGCAGAATTTATGGGCTAAGTTTGCATGGCTGCCAGACAGACATTCATTTGCTGGCCAAATGCATTTATTTTTAATGGATTTTTCTTGTTTGATACTCACTCTCTGTCGATGACTAGACACGTGACTGCTTCTGCCGAAATGACGTTGGCCGTCCTGATGTCCTCCCTGGATAAAAAGATCATACAACACAATCAGGCACAATAACAAAATTGCCACAATTGATCCAATGATCACACACTGTGAGGCCATTATTAAATCAAATTATTATTCATTTAAAATAATTTATCAGATCTGTGATGATGATTCAATTCCATTCGCTCCATAAATGACATTGGTACACAATGAAAACATCCCTCTCAACAGGCAACACACAGTACTGCATGATTGGCATTACTCTTTATTATATTTGACATCAAGCTCATCTTCCTCTGATGATGACGCTTCTTCAGAGGAGTCGCCCCAGTCGCATGAATCCTCCGAGTCTGTGTCCCAAGAATCCATCCTTCACTGTAAAGATTTTTCTGCACACAGAGTCCCACAGCGATAAGCTCTAACTCTGAACCAGCGCACTGCCCGGGGCAGCCCTCCAACAAAGGAAACGTCTGTAGTACTTGTGTATAAACCTCTAATCCAAGTGCAGTGTTATCCACATTATAACGCAGACTAAAATATTACATTATTAACATTACAGTTCTGTTCTAGAGTTGACTCAATTCACTCGAAGTGCTAACAGTAACAACCACCCTCTGTGTCTGATCTGAACTCAGACATACAGCAACCTATTTCAATGAGCTGAGGTGATAATTCCTCCTCATGCTATGTCAACTCCCTCTGCCTTCCCTCTTCCAAACACACACGCACAACCCTCCCTCCCCACGCACAGACTCACACACATACACGCACACAGACACACTCTGCTTCACTCTTTCTGCTGACCCCTTTGAATAAAGGTCACAGCTGGTGGGGGAACAACACACTTTGAAAGGTGAGGACTACAGAGGAGAAGAGAGCAGAGGAGAGGAAGGCAGTGTTTGTCACGGGCATGGGATATATTAACAGATGACTATTGGGGGCCCTCTAGCTAGTATAGCACATACAGTATTTCATTCACCTCTGCTAAGCTCCTATGACCTGCATCCATGCTCTTAACACAATACTCTGGCTAACACTGCTCCACCTGTTTTTCTGTTTGGCCTCAACAGCATTCAGTATCATTAACAAGCATGCTTACAGTATTAATAACCAGGTTAATGGGTGAAAGAAGAACAAATGTCCCAGTTTGAAAGAAGACGCAGAGCCACACCATGGTGGTTACTTCTGATTATGTGATAATTACTTTGGGGAACAAGATTCCTGTTGAGTGACAGTCAGAAGAAATTAGTTATCAATGGTTAACATCGCACGATATTGAGGTGCAAAGAGTTTTTGGATTAGTTTAATTCATAAAGGAAAGCATAAGAGACCCTCATAACGTAGTTTTAATCTGATGATTATTCAAATATTCAGAAGCTGAATAGGGAGTTAACTTGCGCTGTTAAGGGATGTTGGGGGACAAATGCTTGTAATGTGCCAGCTGTGAGTTTGCCAGTAACAATGTGCCAGCTGTCCCTTTTCAAAAGCTATAGTCTCTGCTTCTACAAATTTACCTGCCTGTGTCGAGTAACTTAAGCCAACCTATTCAATTAATTTCAAATAATGTATATGTATGTATCCAAGGACACGACAAAAATGCTTCTCAAATAGATGTTCATTCAAAATGCTCAATAGTCATGAGTCAGTAACTCAAGAATGCCAGATTTAATTTCACTTTTCATTCAGATTCAGCTTCTCATTTAATATAACATTTTAGCAGATTATGCGTAAGATTTTCTAAATGGTACAAAAGTCAACGCATCAGACAAACAGACACACACACACACACACACACACACAAACACACACACACATCAGTTTTCTCATCAGTGATAATGAGCTACCACAACAGTGACACCCACAATCTGTTACACAAGTTAATTTGTCTGATAAAAGAAAGTGTACAGGGTTTGTATAATTTACTAACCATGGTGATACAACAAAACAACATGACACTTTGGGCTATATTGAAATTGAGGTTATGTAAGCATAAATCATCCTTAAGGGACCTCAAGGGTTTCATTTTAGAGAGCCACTTGTTACACCTGTCCCCTGCTACTCGACTGTAGCTGAGGGAAACAATTTAGTGTGCCATTGCGTTGATACTAGCGATGCTCTATGTGAAACACAATCGCTAAATAATATCTGTCAGAATGATTCATTTGCACACCGCTGAGCCTAAGTCATCCACTAAGCCAAAGATGGCTCTGCACTTGTTAATTGCGGCGTAACAAGAAATGCATTGGAAAACAGACACACACACACACACACACACACACACACACACACACACATGCTCAAGCACATACATACTAAAAGCAGCTGCATGCTGTGTCTGGAATGTCCTTTGGACTTACACAGGAGGGAGCCTGTGGTGTTGATTTCCAGTAGATAGTTGAAATGAACCTGGTAATTGGACGGTGATCTGGTGTCCCGGGAAGGGGGTTAAGAAAATAACGTTCAGGCTTGGAGGCTGAGAGTGGGGCAGTAGCTATGGGCTGCAGTGAGGGAAGTAAAGCCAGGGTCAGGACTGGGGCAAGAACAAGAGGTGGCTGTGGGATACACAGCCAATCATTTGTGCTTCAATTCTGTGACTGGGAGGTATTCAGGTGGGCCTGCATGGCTGTTGATAACTTCACAGGTTGGTATTAAAGTAAATGACTGCAGTAGTGTTTGTGCAGCTTTTTCCCATTTACTACAAATCAAGCATTTTCCACATCACGGCGGAGTATGGCCACATTCCAAGGCATACCATACATTTTTACATTTATGAATATATTTTTACCATTCTTGCAGGCCGCCACTGGCTGAAATTGCTTTAAAAACACTTCCCTATTGGTGCATTCCTGTTCTGTTTTTCAAGCTTCAACATCCAAGGCTTAAGTGTTAGCGGCTGAACATTATTCATAAGCTATGTTAGAATAGCCAAACATGGACAGCATGAAAAGGAGATATCTGAGCCTGCCTCAAACACACCAACACAATAGCTGCGAACCAGTGTTTCTTGTGTATAGAATTTATTTTAGTGGCCTGCCCAAAAATAAACCGTTTATGGCAGTGTTTGTATTTATTATTTCTCACTCTCTTTGGATTTGGACATGCAGTTGACAGATCAGTCTGCAAGAATGGTACATGCTCTAGCTGCAGCTGACTCTCAATGCTTAATGTTGTTTTCAGATCCCCCACCAACCCCACCCCAATACCCCTTGGGTTCCAACACCTAAAATAAATGTTTGGTCTGTGGGAAACTCTAAACAGTCCCTGTTCATAACTGCATTACAACACGACAATTGTGCATGTTTCCAAAATGGGATTCACTTTGATGAAGTACTTCTCAAGCAGTCTCAGAAAAGCTTCAAGTATTTGGTATTTCTTTGGATTTTCATGCTGAATGTAGCTGTGTAAAACAAGAAATGTCTTCAGTCTAAAAACCTGTGGTATGCTTTAAAGCAATGCAAAATATACAGAGGATACAGACAGCAGCAATGTAAATAAAGATTTTGTAGCTAACTGCAAATGGCTTAAGTTAATGCTTTGACTCATGGGGTATAAACTATTAAAAGACTGAGGGTATGGCTTGGATGGAAGGGAGAGGGGTGCAGAATTCATTTCAATAGGACCACTGTGTTGGTTCAGTATGGATACTGCCGCAGTAATGTCAGGGGGAAAAAACAGCTTGAGCCTGAGCTACATGTTAATATGAGCATTAAAACATGGTCCCAGTGACAATATTAACACGCTGAGGTTTAGCAGGTATAAACACATGTTGTGTAATCACGCTACCCTTGATAACTGGCACAAACAATGTACTTTTAGCAAGTTTTTGGTCATGAACCAAAGTAGTGGACACATGACGGCACTATATGAAAAGTAAAGTGATCGCCAAAGTGATTCAAAATTATCCGAGGGGGACATAACACAAGGCTGTAGTTGGTCTAAAAGTGGTCTGACAGTGACACCAACCACATTTCTGTCAGTGACATCAAATCTCTCATCCTATACTGGAACACCTCTACAAACACACACACACACACACACAATACACTCAGGAGAGGAGGTCAGGGAACACATTGCTTTACACCTACTGAGGTGTGCATCTACACCTTGAGGCTTAGGTGTAGATCTGTCAACTTCACCATGACAGGAAGCATGTGAAATGAAAAATATGTTGTCCATCTTTTCCTGGAACATCCACCTATTGGGTTGAGATACAGATACGGTAGCCTACTGTAGTATTCAACCCTGTAGAGAACATGTAATCTGATTTCTTCGTGGCTGCTTTAATTTACACACACAGAAAACACACGCACAGAAACCATTATGGCTGGCAGGAGAGACTTTGATTTGTAAATATGTTGTTCTCACAGATCAAAGGCAACGTCTTCAGATGGACAGAGTAGCCTTTGAGTAGGGGCTATTGAGTTTCATGAGCAAGGACACACACAGTTAACTTCTAATTAGAAAGATGGCCCTGCAGAAGAGCCCTCTGATCAAAAGCCTGGTTCGAAGATAGCCAGCATCACAATCATTTAAATTTGAGACATGCTCCACCATCAAAGGCGCAGTTGAAAAGGCTTCTCTCGCTCAAGACACTCCAAGACAAAAGGTGTTCCCAAGCAGATGCTGAGGTGGGTAGAACACTTTGTTTTAGTGGGATATAGAAAGGAGATATAGTTTTCTGGATTAAACAATTCATGAGATGCTCTTGATGGTGCTTTGAAGAGCCGTTTTGAACAGCACACTACTTGAAATCGTATTCTGGATACACTACAAATGCACTGATATAACTATATGAAAGTGAAGTATTATGTATTTATATAAGGGCTCCTACAGTATGTATGTGAATTCCTCAATCCATTATAAATTTGTACTTTGTGTCATGCTCTCATTCATCAAAGAGCACATTTTTACGTCTCATTAGTGTAAAAGGATCAAATTTCTATTTGGAACAACCTACTCCTCCCACTGCCAGGAGATCAGGCTTCCCGTGCCTCACATGTCCCACATGCATTTTAATGCTCTGTCATAATTTAAATCCTATAGTCATTAGCTTTAACATATGGGGAAAGCCAGCCATCTGTGCAATTCCAGCTGTTTCCTGAACACACATCTAGAGTGATCCTTTTGAAGATAAAACAGTGATTTACAGTGTGTTTTGACAACACATAAACTAGCATTTATTCTTCACAGGATACTGCTTTGGTTCAACTTAAGCCTCTTTGTGTTTTAAAGTGTTTACTATAAGTTCTTGAGGTGTGATTTTTAAGAGCCCAGGAGCTAATTTGAGGTGGCTTCCACATTCAGCAGCCACAAGATGGCGACATCTCCACTTCTTTAATGTTGACACTGTCGGCTATGCACATGCATGCAAATGTATGAGCATGAATGCATACATTGTGTTGTCTGTTTCTACCTGACCCCGTGCAGCCATAAGACTTTTTTTCCATACCCACCCTCTGCATGGAGGCGCACAGTTGTGACAGGACAGAACAAACAACAGGGTAAAAACATCACTTTGATGCCTGAAGCATAAAAGCAAATTTTTATTTCACTGAAGTGTCCTTTCAGTGAAAGTATGTGAGTGCTTAGAAGGCACCTAATGTCAACAGCGCCTGTGAGTCATTTGATCCCTGCAGTGTATACGTACAGCCTGGTTACTTCAAACTCGGTAGCTATAATGCATGTTCCTGGCACAGGCTTACACAGTATAGATGTATAGATATCTGCTTACTACCTGTTTCTCTCTATCGGCAGACACTGCTCTGTTAGTAACAGCAACTACGCTCACATATTCAAAACAAATGTTCATAAGAGACGTATGAAGAGAGTGAAGAGTCATTATTACAGTCAATGACAGCATGGGGATGCCCTTGATATCACAATGTTCGGGCAACCAAGACAGAAAAAAATCTAAAAATAAGTAAATAAATAATCATCAAGCATATAGATAATATTGTCTAAATGAAATGAGTCTTCAGCTGGGAGCATATAGTATGACTATCAAACACCAAAGTCTACTCACAATAAATGACTCTTTCCCTGCAGTTTCTTGTCTGTGTGACATACAGTAGCTGTGTGCAAAATATAGCAGACGGGTTGTCACTTGGTGTGGTTATGAGGGATCTCCACTGTCACTTGAATATAAACACTTTTTTTTCTCTTTTGATTTGGGCAAAAATAGAGCGTGAGGAAGAAGAGCATGTCACAGTAATTGTATGTGCTCTCAATTGTACTTTCTGCAAAGGGGGTTGGAGGTAAAATAGCTGCATCTTTAAATATTCATGCTGTTTTTTTATAGTATCAGCTAGAAATTATGATCCCATAACTGATCATTATTAAAATTTACTGCTCAAAACATATTTTCATTTTCATCTATGCCAGTTTAGACTCTTTCATTGTGATCAGCTTAAGCTTAACAAACTGTCTTCGGTTCAGAGAGAATTTTTGTGTCACAACTCAAGCAATGTTGCTGTAACAGCTACAGTAAATCAGGCCTGAAGTTGTGTGATGAGTCGGCTTTCAGCATTTCCAAACATTTAGCAAGTTATCATGCCTCTCAAGAAGAGTGAGTGGTAGGGAAAAAAATAGGGACAGATAAGAGCTGGAGGCTGCTTGATGGTAAATTAGAATGGAAAAATGCATGTTAAGTGTAAGAGGAAGCATATTAAAAGTTGCAAGTGAAAATTAGATGGGAAGTGGGTGACAGAAACAGCGGGAGAACTGAAGATTTAAATTGGAAAAGGCAGTGTTATTAGAAACAATCTTACCCTTGCAGTGCTTTCTCTCCAAACCAGTCTCCTTTTCCGAGGCTGCGCAGGTAGACAGGTTCTCCATTGGGCACGTCTTCCCTGGTCACATTAACCTGGCGAAAAAAATGGAAATGCAGGAGGAGTAGAGAGAAGAGAAGAGTAGTGTGTCAGAGAGGAAGATGGAACAATAGAAGAAAGAAGGGGTGACATATAACAGAATGAAGATGTGTGGTGAATAAACGAGAGGAGTTTCATTTGAGAGGAATAGCATTTCATTTAGACATCATTCCAAAAGAAATTGACATATAAATGATCTCTGAAGATGGCAAACTAATCACACTATTACAAACGGGAGAAGCACCGGTGTGATAGATATGTCTGTGCATGGGTAGTCTGTTATAAACAGGTGACAGCCTTCACTGTGCACAATCTGGGAGGCGCCGCTGACCACTTCATTAGCCAGATGACATGTGAGTGATAGCACTGTGCTGTGCCGGTAGACTTTACAAATCAAAGTGATGGCACTTTAGTAGATTTTAGAGGAAGTGAATGGAGATGGTGGTTTCACCTAATGAAGGCTCTTGTCTTCATACATTAGTCAGTTCTGCACAGGTGTAGCAGCGTATCTAGCACCAGCACACTGTAATGCTATCTACACCTGAGTGACAGCGTAATTATTCGTGATCTAATATGATCGTGTGGGAGCAAAAAAAAGCAAAAAGAGGAAGTGGAAAGGCTCTGAGAAGCCAAAAAGTGTAGACCAAAGGGGCATATTGTGTGTGGTGAGATGCCCAAATCTGTTGGAATGTCCTCTAGACAAAGTGCACCGCCTGTGGTCTAGATAGGGACAAAGTGAGACATGTGGAAACAGCCAAGCAGAAAGCAATGATAAGGTCAGGAGTGTGTGTGTGTATGTGTGTGTGTGTTCATGTCTTTGTCCATGGGCTAATATGTTTGTGTTACAGTTGTGCTGACCTTGTGTGGCGGAAAGCATCTGTTTGGGGTCAAAGGAGAGTAAAAAAAAAAATCTATCATTGTCATCCTTTACAGTGACACCTGCTGTATGTCCTGGGCCTGAGAGATGCTGTGAATTTCTCTCACTCACTGGGAATTTAGGGGGTATTTTAGGTTACCAGCTCTTTAAGATCTAAATCTAACCTTTGCGGCAGGGTTTAGGAGACTGTTAACACTGAGAACTGTCTCGTTAACAAATGTACATAGCGACGATGAGGAAGAGAGATGGTGGAGGGTGGAGGAGAAACACGAGCAAGTGCAGCTCATAGAAGAAGGAACAAGTGTAAGACGGACCAGAAGGTAGTGTGGAAGGAGGAACAGGAAAAGGATAAAGATGAGGAGGGCGAGCAGGGAGAAAGTAAGGAGGAAGAGCAGCTGGTATCTACGCATAAAAACATGCTAACAGTTACAAGCACATGAAAGCCCTCTGACAGTGTTGATATTGGACGAGACGCCGTGTCATCTGTGCACAGCGTGAAAGCCGGTGTCGATGGCAGAAAGGTGAAATGAAAGTGACTCCATTCTCCTTCCTCAGCGATCCCAATGCTGCTTGCGAGAGATGATGAAAGAGGCTGCGCTTCTGTCTCTCCTCTCCCCTATCTCGAGATGACCGATGATAGCCAACTTCCACCCAAAAATACTACCACTTTGCTTCAAAGATGTGTCTTTTGCCGGGCGTGTGTTCCTTGACACCCTGTGCCATGATGTTGTGATGATTATTTGGTGGTAGGCTACAGGCACTGTTCTCACCTTTCCTTTACTGATGATGAAGAAGGTGTCTCCTCTGGCCCCCTGTCTAATGATGTACTCTCCATCTTCATAATGTGTCTGTCAAAAGAGAAGAGAAGACCAGAGAAGTGTTATTCAGGGACGTTAGGATTCTTTTGTCTCCTTTATCACATTGGGATTAAGACACTGTCACCAGAGAGATAGAGATACTCTTCAGAGGAACTAATGCTGGATTGGGTGCAGTAGGATAAATCCCAATTAGATGTTTTTTCTTGTTAATACCACACTGGTAAGCTCTTCAGGGTGCTTTTCTGCATCCACCCACTACATGCCTAGATATCTCCTGCGACCTTGAATATGAATAAGCAGGTTAAGAGAATGAGTGAATAAATGAATGCCCCTACATCAAATCTAAAGGCAAATCACAGCTCTTTTCCAAGAGTAGAATTAATACAGGATATCCATCCATCAATTCATTTTCTATACCCAGCAATCCTGTTTAGGGTTGTAGGTGCTGGAGCCTATCACAGCATACATGCTATGATCCAGACTTGTCGGCAGTCTAACACAAGGCTAACGCAGATAGATAGAAAAACACTATCACACACAGACACATCCATGCCTTAAATAACCTTCAGTGTTGGATAAAGAATGCGCTTGTTCCAAGGACGGATTCAGTTATAGTGATACATAAGATGTGACATAACTAAATAATGAAAAAAATAGTAAAAAAGTAGTCATTAAAAAAAACTGATAAGCAGTTGTTATGTTAACATGCATCGGTTCATGTTTTTATAATAAAAACTCAGGAGAGATTTTAATTTTCCTTCAGCAAAATAAACAACACGCTTCACTTCAGACCACAGTTTTGACTGAAGACTCGGCTCGATATTTCAGGTTAGATGATGAGCAGATCTTTCCTTACACTGCAGCACTGTGTGTGATTCATGTCTGCTGTGTGTCACTCCAAAGCAGAGCTTCTTGTTAATAGTAGGTTGCAGTTACAAAGTTTAGTTCAGGTTTGTCTATTTATATAATTTCTCTCTTCAAGGAGAGGAAAACATAGGGGAAAAAAACAAGCTAGATCTATCTAATCAAAAATCAATCTCAGACTTAAATGATCAATTATAGTAGAGGACAAGGAAAAGGACAACGTGATGGATCTAACCATTATTTGACCCAGCATCACCAACCTATAGAACCTCGGCGAACACATAGAAAACTTTTTTTTTTTAAACAAAGGGCAAACTTTGGACAAGCCAAGTCAAATAGCAGATATCACTGATTGGTTATTTATGGGGTGAGAGCAAAGAAATAACTTCAAGCAAATGTTCAGAGGTTTTAATTATTTTAATGCTACTTTTAAGTTTGCCACTTGGTTTCTCTATTAAAGCAGATAAATGCAAATTCAATCAAATCCCTAATATCTCCCTCAGCAAACACACACATTGCATACATTAATCAGAGTACATTTATAGGCATGTCTAGAATGGCATGAAAAACATCTAACTTTGGCAAAATAGTGGTTTTGGGATATCATAATAAATTAATAATAATCTGTCTTGACATGACTTTGTTAAGACTGTGGGTCCGTATAAGAATACACATACATGATATACATCGACACACAGGCATGCTGACAAAATATTTTAGATTAGTTTTACCTGAGTTTACAGAACATGCAGGTCCTCCCTTTAGCTATGTTTCCCCCAGTTTACACTTTCCAGTGTAGCTGCTGATACTATGCCTGCTTCTGCCAATGTACTTTCATGACGTCTTTCTTTTCCTTGAAGTTGTCCTTCACCATAAAGGTTGTTATGTGTAAGCATAGATTTCCTTTTCTTGGTTCTCCTGCCTTTCAATATCCCAGCCGGCTCTTAATTGCTTAACTGCTTCTGTCGAGCTACATTGTTACCATGCTGACCCTGTTAACTGTTAGGTCTTTGCATTACCATCAATTTTATCTTTACCCACTTGCAGAAAAGTTCCATACTGTGATGTTTGTTGTAGTTTTTCCGTGGTGTATTCCATACCACCAATAATGTACTTGTTGTTAACTATGTACAAATAATACCCTATGGTATTGGACAATGACAAGTATATCATGTAACATGTCTATGTTTATCAAGTGTCTGTACCAGGTTAACTATTTATAGATCACCTGGGGTCATTATTTCTATATATTGGAACACAGATCAGTCTGATGGGCTTTGTTTTTAAGTTTGTGCAAACTGATTTGGGCCAAAGGACCTTGAACTATAATTTTTCGCATGAATTATAATGTGATACATTGATTCTCCCAGTTCTATAAAGTCTGAAATGACTTCACTTATCTCAAACTTAGTTATTAAAAATCTAATCAGTTAGGCTAGTTTCCTCAATAGTGAATAGAGTATCATGTAATGGATAATGCCCAACGAGGTGTGCATTATCAGTAACTAATGGACGACATGGAGGCCAGAATCGTACGACACGCTCCGCAAAGTCCATTAATTATTCCTGCTTATACCATGGTAACTTGCCAAAGAAAAAAAAACGGAAACAGTGTTCACTACTCCAGTAAATAGGACGAACCATAGATGCGACTTGGCAAAAGTTAATGTTTCTAGTTCCCTCTGCTCATAGAGTGCTTTGGCACAAGCCAGAGAGCTAATGTTATGATAGCAAAATTTAGTAAAATAGTGCTATAATTTAACAGTATGTTTAACAACAAGACAAGCTAGCTCTCCAGCCATGATAGATAGATAGTGTGTACTGCCTGAGGTAGCAAGCTGAATAACAAATGGGATGTGGGAGCATCACTTATAGAAAGTATCAGTGAGTTCACAGGGTCAGTTTGTGTTAAATTCGCCATCCTGTGGTGTTCAGACAATGAGTCACTGAAGGACTACACTACAGTGTTGTGAGATGTATTTATGAGATGTTTGGCTAGATTTTGTGAACAGTAAACAGACAGTTTTGCTGGAACTGGTAGGTGTCCTACATCAGGTACTACCCAACAGCCAATCAGAATCAAGTATTCCCCGACCATGGTATAATACAAATGAATGTAACAAGAACACAAGACCCCTCTTGCATTAACGTTACTCTACAAATTGATAGTTATAATATAGATTTGTGTCAGGGCCGAAAGGTGTGGATGATACAAGAAATGACCATTAAACTACCACAAGCAACATAATGCATGCAACAGACATTCAACGCAAATTGTTATCGTAAGATGACAAGCTTGTATTAGCTTGAATACTACCAAGAACATAGCCTAACAAATATATATAAGTATATTACCGTTGTTAGCCAACGGTAGCAAAGATACCGTTAAAAGTAAAAAAAAAAT